TATCCTCCATGAATGAGCATTGGCTAACTTTGGGTGGAGCTTCCCGGGCATTGTTCATCGTGAAAGTAGCCATCTCTCCATGAGCCGAGAGCGCGACTCGTCCCTCCTTGACGTCGATAATGGTGTTGGTCGTCGCCATAAAGGGTCGACCAAGCAAAATCGTGTGCTCTTTCCCGGTATTCGGAACATCCCCAACGTCAAGGACTACGAAATCAACCGGCACGACAATCGAGCCAACCTTGACCAACATATCTTCAATTATACCTTTTGGCTCCCGCAAGGTGCGGTCCACCAATTGGAGGCTCATCCGAGTGGGCTTAAGCCCTTGCAAACCCAATTGCTTATAGATAGAATAGGGCATGAGGTTGATACCAGCTCCCAAGTCGAGCATCCCAGTTGTAATCTTCCCATTCCGAATGTAATCTTCATGACAAAGGCTCCCGGGTCACATTCTTTCCGAGGTATGGTAGTCGAGGCCACCTCAGAAATCATCACCTTCTCATTATCCACGAACCTCCTCTTTTTCGAAGCCAAGTCTTTGAAAAATTGAACATACGCCGGAACGTTTTTGATAACGTCTAGTAGTGGGAGGTTCACGTTCACCTTCGAGAGCATGTCAAAAAGATCTTGAAATTGACGCTCCTTCTTTGTTTCTATCAAGCGGCTCGGGAAAGGAACCGGTGGTCTGTAAGGCTCATATGCTTTGTGCAAAGCTTCACGGGCATCTTTCTTCCAACTCTCCTTCTCAATCCTCTCATCAACGACGGCTTTCCCTTTCGAAACCTCAACTTTCTCACCCGGCTCATCATCATCCTCATCAACAACAACTTCAACCACTTCATCTTTCTCGGGCATCTCCACATGATTATCAACTTTCTTACCACTCCTCAACACCGTGATTGCATTGACGTACTCGGGTTGGCTCGGGAGCTTGTCCTTCATCTTGCCCCTTTGAATCTCCCCGATAGAAGTTCCGAGTTGCCCCATTTGAGTCTCGAGGCACTTGAGAGAGGCTTGGATCGAGGGCAATCCTTTGATGGTGTCGTGCAAAGTAGAGACGGTAGAGGCCAACGATTGAAGACACTTCTCTAGGATCTCGATCCGGGTATCCGAGGACTCCCCATTAGCAGTTCTCTCGGGCTCCGGTGGAGGTGGTATCGGTTGTCTCGGGACAAATCCTCCACGCCCTTGTGGGTATCCTTGGAACTCGGGTCTCAGTTGGTAGCCTTGGAATTCGGGCCTCAGTTGGAAAGGTCGGTTGTTCGGGGGTGCATAGGCTTGAGGTTGGTTATAAGGTTGAGGTGGTGTTTGTTGGGGTGGATATGCCGCCTTCGGGTCCCTCCATGAGAAGTTAGGATGATTCCTCCACCCGGGGTTGTAGGTATTCGAATAAGGATCATTTTGAGCCCAGGGAGCATATCCTTGTACAACATTGACATCAAAAGGGACCGCTACAAGATTGGGATCATAACCCGGCTCCATATACCTCGGGCATTCATGGCCACCATGCCCCGTTTTTCTCCACAACATCCGCATACCTCGGCCATTACCACTTGAGTCGACTTTGCATCCCTTAGCCGGAGTTGCTTGAATTCCTCCTCCAACGAGCATAGCTTGGCAAGAACGGCATCGTTCAAGGACCCGGTGGCTTGTGTAGCTTCGTTAACAGGGGCCCTCTTACGAATGCTCTTCCTTTGAGAATTTTCACTCAACATCTCATACAAATTGTAGATTTCCTCCTCCGTGTGGCTCCCTATGTCTCCACCGGCCGCATGATCAACCATATATTGAAGAGTTTGGTGGAGACCATCGTAGAAGAATTGGTTGAGCACACCGAGGCAAAAGTGGTGATGTAGACATTGGAGTTGATAGCCCTTGAATCGTTCCCAAGCCTCGTGGAAGGTCTCACCGATGTTTTGGCTAAAACTAGCCTTTTGAGTCCGGAGGTCGGTGGTCTTTTGATGAGAGTAGTACTTGCTCATGAACTTTTCGTGGACGGCTTCCCACGTGTTGAGCGAGCTCGGAAGCAATGTCATGAACCAAGTCTTGGCTCGGTCTTTCAATGTGTAAGGGAAGCATCTCATTCGGAGTTGGTTCTCGGTTAGGCCTTGAAGTGGGAATGTGTTGACGGTTGCATAGAAGTCTCGGATGAAGTTGAGGGCATCTTCTTGTGCTAAGCCGTAGAATGATGGAAGTTGGTTTAGGTGGATGGTCTTGAGGTCATAGTTTCGGGCCGCCTCCCCGAGCACGAGGCACGAGGTGTTGTCTCCAATGATAGGTCGTGCGAAGTACCTCATGTTCGGGGGAGGTTGTGGAAGTTGCTCTCCTTGTCCCGCCATTGTTTCGGTTTCGGGTTGTGGTTGTGGTTCCTCGATGTTAAGCTCAACGAAGAGATCGAACGGTTGTGTCTCCTTTATGGGTCTACCTCGTCGTCTACCTCGCATAAACACCAACAACAACTATACCCGTGAACGCACCAATGGAAAACGAGATAAAGCTCAAGAAACAAACACAAATTATCGACAAAAAGCAAGAGAAATCAAGAGAAACACGGAAAGTAACCAAGGTTCACAAAAATCAAGAGAAACACAAGAAAAAGAGACAATCAAATAGCAAACTAGGCATCCTACTTGCCTTCCCCGGCAACGGCGCCATTTGTTTAGTGAAGATTTGATGGGCAAGGGTTAACCGAGCTACCCGACTCGGGTCGATCTCGAAGGAAGGCTATTCGGACCTTTGTCTACTAAATGATCGTCCAAATCACAAAAAAGGAAAATAAAATCCTAAACATTCTAAGCAATTGATTGGATGGTTGATTAACACTAATTGAGCACTTAAAAACGAGCAATTAATTGAAAGCAAGATCAAATCGCGAGCATTTAGCAAACTAGATTACCGGAGTCTCTTGCCATAACCATAACGGGATGATAATCAATAGACATATGGAATAAACGAGCTACGAGCATTAGATTGCTAACCCTAGTCGTCTAACCGAGATCAACAAGTAATTAACGGCTCTTCTACTCAAGCAAGCAATCAAGTTCAAGCATTTCCACCATCATCAATCAAATCCAATTTACTCTAATGAACATTATAAGTAAAACCGAAGCAAAAACTGAAGTAAAGATCTTTAAAACTAAATACTCAATCTCCCATTGCGTAGACGATGAAAAACGGAGTCAAAAGCTCGAAACTTGAACGAAACCGAAGTCGCCGGAAAATCTCCCGGAAAATAGCATAAGCTCCTAATCTAGAGAGCAAAAATAAAACATAAACTAATTTCCAAAAGAGGAAAAGTAAAAAATGAGAGAATTCCCCTCAAAATGCAAAGGACAAAATATATTTATACTCCTACTCAACACACACACTAAAAAATGCACACTTAATGTGACACTCTCGACCACGCCGTTAGATTCGCGAGCTCGCGGGCAAAGGATAGCACGGGGGCGTGCGAGCGCGCACGGGCAATGCGCACTCCCGACGTCGCAGTGAATTTCGCGTGCGCGGACGGTGGTATGGGGGAACTCTCGAGGTCGCAGCTTAAATCGCGAGATCGCGAGTTTGTGCTTGGCTGCGGTGGCGCGACGCTCTCGACTGCGCGGAAACTTTCGCGAGCACACGGGCTTGTGGCAACTACAGGCAGCGACAATGGTGCTCTCGACCTCGCGGCGTTCTCCGCGTGCGCGCGAGTGTGCACGGGAGTTGAGCGCACGATGCTCTCGAGCTCGCGCCCGTTTCCGCGAGGGCGCGAGTGGGGTAAGTGGGTTGCGTGGCGTGCGTCCGCGAGTGCGCGGCTTGGGCTGCGGGGTTGCGAGTACCGTGTGCACGCGTCCGGACTCGACTAAGGCTTGAACACTCGGTTTGAAATGGCTCGTTCCAATGACTCAAAACACTCAGAATTGACTCGAATTTCTTGAGAATGATCTTGGAACCTGGTTCGACTCTCTCTTCATTCTCGAAATAGACCTGAAAATATATCAAAAGCACGGACAAATACGCCAAAATACAAAATAAAAGAGAAAATATAAAATCACACAAAATGCGATAAAATGGACCGGTCGACACAAAAACGAACCTAGAACCGACTCAATAACACATATAAAAACACATAAAAATAAGCACAAAAATATAACAAACATTTGACTAAAATTGACGTTTTGTCAAATTAATTAAGAGGAATTTTGCATTAGTATTGATGTATTGGACTCCAACGACTATGAATGTTCTTATGAGAATGTTAAAACTAAAATGAAAGAAAATATTTGTGTTTTTTTATTAGGAATTTGTTTTTATATATATATATTTTTGCTGGGGTTTGTAAAACGTTATTTCACTATTTTTTATATGAGGACATTATTATATTAATTCTAAATAAAAAAATCACATATGAGTTCAATTTTCTATATTTTACTTCATTTATGCAATGATATGTTTAATAAATAAATTAATTTATTTTACAAACTTACTCCGCGAAAATTATTCGACATCACTTGCATCGCACGTGCACTTTAGTAGTATATAAAATGATTGCTGTCAATCCAAGTGGATCCGTTCGAGCAAGAGAAGAAATAAAAAATGTACGTCAACTCTGCCACATTATATGTTTATTATTATTGTTTCAATCACTCATCAAATGCAGAGCAATTATTAGTTGTGAGATCTGAATATTTTCTATTGTTGTTAATTGCGCCTGATTAGCATGGACATTTTTTTACTTGGACAGCATAATTTTATATACTGGATTCATCAGAGTGTGATTACAACTCTACAGTTTAGTTGCTATATTATATAGAGAAATGGAACCATATCGTTGCGGTTTGTAACCTTTAGATCCACTATCATTGACGGTTACATGATGATCTAACGGTTATAAATCCCGACGGAATGATTCCGTAACAGGACTGTAGCATCCCTATGTTATATATATGTTACATCCCAAAATATGAAAACATAGCATATAATTGGGCAGTAGTAACTAATCTTGTCTTAGCTAGCCAAGCATGGAAATAGCAGCCCAGTTGAGTATGAAAAACCTGCTCCTCATTTCATCTTTCATCCTCTTCCTAATCAAACTAGTACTACCACTAACCAAATCGAAAAAACCCCACCACGGCCAGAACAAGAAGCTGCCTCCGGGCCCGCCGGGACTGCCCGTGATCGGCCACCTCCATCACCTGATCGGGCGTGGGCTTCCCCACCACGCCCTCCACCGCCTATCCCTCAAGTACGGGCCGGTCGTGCACGTGCGTATGGGAGAGGTCCCGACAGTGGTGATCTCATCCCAGGAAGCCACAAGGGAGGCCCTACGGGACCGCGACATGGCCCTCTGCGACCGCTTCTCCACCACGGGCAGCGAAGTCTTCTTCTCCAACGAGCTCTTCTTCTGCCTTTACGGCGACTACTGGCGGCAGATGCGCAAGATTTGCATCGTCGAGCTGCTGAGCTTCAAGGGCGTCAGGTCCTTCGAACAGGTCCGGCTGGATGAAGGACGCCGTCTCGTAAAATCCCTTCTCCCGGAAAGAGAAGGTTTCCCTGCTGCTGCCGTAGACCTGACCAAGAGGATGCTCGAGTTTGTGAGCATGTCGGTTTGCAGGGCGGTGTTTGGGGGTGTCGGGGTGAAGGACCGGGCGGCAATGGTGGAGATGATGAAGGAAGCGGCGACCATGGCAGCCGGGTTCGAGCTTGCGGATCTCTTCCCTTCGTTCAAGTTGCTACGTGTGTTGAGCTTGAACAGGGTTAAGCTGGTGAGGATGAGGCGCAGACTTGATCGAATTCTTGACGAGATGTTGGAGGAGCACAGGAGGAAAGGGAGGAGTGGGGAGTTTGGCGGGGAGGACATTGTGGATGTTTTGATTAGGATGCAAAGGGATGGGGAGTTGCAGTTTCCGATTACCGACGACTATATCAAGGGCATAGTCTTTGTAAGTACCACCCCGCATTTTCTTTTGGTTGAACAAGGACATAAGGTAATGTTCTTTTATAAGCATAAATGTATTAATTTTTTCTTTTTCCTCAGAACATGTTTTCTGCTGGAAGTGAAACATCGGCGGGCACCCTCGACTGGGCGATGGTGGAGCTTATGAGAAACCCGGACGTGATGGCGAAAGCACAGGCAGAAATACGCAGCGCCCTCAAAGGGAAAAAGTCCATTGAAGAGAGTGACCTGCAGGAGCTCAAGTACCTAAAACTGGTCATCAAAGAAACATTGAGGCTACACCCTCAGGTCCCATTACTCTTTAGATCGTGCAGAGAGGAATGCGAGATCAGTGGCTATTCGATTTCTCCCAAGACAAGAGTCTTCATCAACTTCTGGTCTATGGGAAAGGATCCAAAGTATTGGGCGGAGCCCAACATCTTTCGGCCAGAAAGGTTCGATAACAGCTCTCTAGACTTCTCGGGTAACGACTTCAAATACATCCCGTTTGGGTCGGGGAGAAGGAATTGCCCCGGTATCAATTTTGGATTAGCAAATGTGGAGCTCCCGCTGGCTATCCTTTTGTACCACTTCGACTGGAGGATGCCTGAAGGAATGGATCTTCAAGATATGGACATGAGTGAAGAGGCAGGAATAACCGCCCCTCGGAAACAACATCTTTTCGTGGTTCCCGTACCTTATGACTCTTAAACAGATTCAGAATTCATAATCTGATCGTTGGCCCTACTTGTGTTCCGTTGTTTCAGAATTATCACGATAAATGTTAGCATTGGAACATAGTTTGAGATCCATATATAGTTATAGTTTCTGGGTTTCTGTTTAATCCTAGTCATAGAAAAAATATTTTGTTGGGCAATTTACACCATTTCTTGTGTGTTTTGACAATAATTACACATATACTATTGAAGCAAAAATAATTGCATTAATCCAAATCAAAAGCAAATATAAGAAAATGCATAATATCAGTTACTAAAATAAAAATGATTGTGTCCCTTAGTTAGCGTAACTGAAGGCAATTATATATAATAAGAAAAAAAGACGGAACATCCCCCAGTCTCCTCGATTCGACATATCTTCCACCACCCTCCATCGGCGTCAAGCGAGCCTGATGGCGTGGCCTGCACGCATACCGCATTTGCTCCTGGCAACTTCCCCGCGTTTGTTCCTGGCAACTTCGAATCTTTCCCTTCCCTCCTTTTTTTTCGATCAAAATGTGCTAAGTCCTAAAGAACAAGGCGCCCAAGTGGATGGAAGATACGTCTCTCCTTTTAATGTCCTGTAGAACAAGGCGCCCAAGTATATGTATTTTGCAACATATCCTCAGTGTTTGATGGCGTGGTTGTCGTCAAGCGAGCCTGATGGTTATTTTAGATGTTTATGTATTTTGCATATGTTGATTTTGTAATAGGGGATAATAGTGGCTGTAGAATGAGCAAAATCAAGGTTTGAAGTTTACTGACTTTATGTTAATTTCTGAAATTTAATCGTAGACATCACGAAGCCATTGTTTGATTAGTTAGTTTCTGTTTTCCGTACTTGCCATATAATATTTATTGTATATGTTGCGTTTACACATTCGTATAGTTTCAATATATGTTGTGTATTTTATTTACATAAGATTTATCAAACCACGATTGTGATGTTTGAATTTTGTTTTATACTTTTTGTTTATATTCTTTTACTTAATTTTATACCTACAATATGTACAACATTGATATGTAAAACATATTATAAGCGCCATTAAGATGTTAAAAAAATAACATATTATAACGATTTTATAAGCGCCACTAGAGTATGTAAAACATATTATGAGCAAAAACGCATTTTTCAAATTTGAATTCCAAACATCTCCATCAAAAAATCGATGACCAAAAACGACATTTGAGACAATGAAATATAAAGATCAACCCAAATTTTGAATATGCAGTATATATTGCGGTTATATATTTCAGTACATGCTCAACTTTTCTATTAAAAATATATTGATTGAATACATTAACTTTTTTATTCTACCATTAGCACGCTTATCACCGGCCCTCTCTCTCTCTCTCGCGAAGGCGATTTTCCCCAAATCAAAAGGCAAAAACCCTAACTCCCAATCTGTCGGCGCCTCCCCCCTTCCGGGCTCTCTGCGTCGCCACGGCGAAGGCCATCACCGGGCCGTGTTGCTCGTCTCTCGAAGCTCCGTCCGTCCTCCCCAGTGTAGTACTTCACGTTGTCGCCGGCCGACTATGTCCAGGAGAGTTTCAGGCGGTGCTGAGATGGGCTCGAGTGGCTGGCTTCAATCGACTCCTTGGAGTTGGTCAGAGCTGAGGTAATGTTCTCCTCTCCCCTTTTTCCGTCCTTCCTGTTGCGTGGGGGTCGGGTCGACTGTGGGCTGTGGGATGGGGTTTGGCTGCTGGTTGTGCGAAGTTGTCGGGTCAGTTTTGTGCCCATGGTCCTTAGTTGGTGTGTGGGATGAGAAGAGCTGGTCTCCGATCGCCGGTCTGGAGTGGTCCGCTCAGGTAGTGGATTTGGCCTGTGGTGTGGTTTCAACTAGCCGAGTTAGCCGTCTCTGGAGTTTCTGGAGCTATATTCAGCCTGAGTTCTTATTTGTGTGGGCTGTCATCTCCAGGTGCCGTGTTCGTGGCTTTGCGGTTTGTGACCGGTTGGGGGAAGGGTTTATTCTAATAGTGTGTATTTGCTTTGTTTTTGTGTTTGTGTTATTTTGGGTGTTGTAGTTGTAGATTCTTCTCATTAGTAGGGGGATTCTTCTCTTTAGAAGTTTGATTCTCCTCTCTAGGAGTGTGATTCTTCTCTTTTGAAGGTTGATTCTCTTTTTTAGGAGTGTTTAATTTTATTTCGTAGTGGGTGAGTTGGGTTGGCTAATTCTAGGACACACTTTTGTGTGTGATCCTCCTACTAGATTCGGCTCAATAGCCGTTTGGCTTATTCAGGCTGATGTCTAATTGCATTTATGTGTTTCATTTATAAAATCTATCGTTTCGAAAAAAGAATACAAGAATTTTTTAGTTCTTTTTTTGTTTTTTTATAGAAAACACTAATTATTTTATCTCAAGATCACCTATTAGCTTCTCAATGGATTTATATTTCTTACATATTAAATATTAAATAGTGAAAATAGTTATTATCTTATATATGCAATATGATATTTATATATTATATTCAAAAAATTAATAGCAAATAAAAAGTTTTTTTAAAATTACAATAATCAAGTTTTTCTAAAAATTTAAAAGTTCTAACCTACATGGATAAAAGTACTAATACCTATTATTTATTACCTAGAACTTACACATAGAGTTAATAAACACCAAAAATAACGAGCTTTTAACAACTTAGTTCGTTTACACCGATAAGTATTAGTTTTAAAAGTTTTATATTGACTTTTAGTAACTATAACACTTTTTTCGAAACGATAATTACATATATTCACAAAAAAAAA